CCGTATCCAGCTCTTAATCCTGCTTGCTCGCAAGGTTGATAGAAGTCTAGTTTTGATGTCAACCTGTTAGTTATTATCTTCATAAACAACTTATAAACGTGAGATAACATACGTGTTCTATACAGCCTTATACGAATTTTTTGAGACAGACGTTTGTTAGCTAAGTACTTTGATAGACCATGATAACACCTGTTTGCAATTATTATTCGCTTTTTTATTTCCTCAGATGTGTTATTATTGGAGTTAACCGATGTCCCTAGATATATGAACTCTTTGACTGCTTCGAAGTTTTGGTCATTGATGATTAAATTTGCGTCAACATTTCTAGCTCTTGTGTTTTTGTTAGTCGCCATGAATTTGGTTTTATTTTGATTTATATGTAATCCTATTCGTTCTGCTGTTTCTACTAGCTCGGTTAGGATTTCCGCAGTTCTCGCCGTAGTTCTTGTTATAATGTCCACGTCGTCTGCATATGCTAGAATTTGGACTGTTCTATTAAATATTGTTTCCCTGCTATTTAAATTAGCGTCTCGTACAATTTTTTCTAAGGCAACATTAAAAAGCTGACACGCCAGCGCATCTCCCTGCCTTAACCCCCTATGTATTTCAAATGGGGTTGACGAGTCGTTTTGAATTTTTACTGCTGATAGCATCTTCGCCATTGTCACTTTTACCAAACATATGAGTTTTTTTGGAATTCCTAACTCATTCATAGCGTTGTAAAGACTTGGTCTTAAGACACTATCATATGCCGCTTTAAAATCGACAAAAATATGATACATACCTATGTTAAACTCTTGCGCTTTTTCGAGGATCTGTCGTAGTGTAAAGATCTGGTTAATGGTTGAACGTCCACGCCTGAATCCTGCGAACGGGAATTTGCGCGACTTAAAAACGCTAACATTACACCTAAGCCAGATGGTTATAGAAACTTTTTTTTAATTGGAATTAATGATTTAATTGGGCAATCGTTACTTTAACGAAAAAATAGTCATGGCATTTACTGGCAGACATGGCAACTTCTTTTTATATTTCCTCTAGTTTTCGATATATACTAAACAACATACCAATTTGAAACACCCGTACATATTTATATATACCTATTTTTATAATATATCTAAGAGATCATATATTATTCAGGTCAATTTTAGTTATTATTTTACCAATCGTCTCTTGAAATGGTTATTTTAATAGTTTTTTTAATTTCAGCTAAGCTTAGGCGTTGAAGAGGGAATTATTCAAGCCTACAATCAAGATTTTGAGCTGCAATTTTCCCATAAAGTTTCGTTAATGACAAGATTTTCCCAAGCTGATTTAGATCCATGCACATTTTTATACCTTTTAAAAGATGAACAAGAAAATTTGCTGTACTGTTATCTTTTTGTTGCGAAAGAAGTGCTAGATGTAAGTATAACATTAAATGGATCTTTTTATTTAACTTTAAGTATGACTATATATATATATATATATATATATATATATATATATATATATATATATATATATATATGAAAACAATAAAATATTCACAAGGAAACTAAGTTCCTGTAGTTGGCTGTATACCATGTATCACAGGGAAAAATACTGCTCATGGAAAAAACTAATATATTACTTTCATAAACTTTAAAGATTGATTGACTGAGTAGACAGCAAAGCAATATGTAATATAATTCAGGGGACCTCGGAATATAAGGAACTCTATTAAAAGTGATTAGAAGTAAGTACCGTAGAATGGCAAATAAAGTACAAATGGTAGGCAGCAGATCACGAAATTTCATTATCTCATCTATTATATTTATAAAAGTACTGGGCTTAAATTACCAACTTGTCTAACTCCTTGTGTTGTTTTAAATGTTAACGATTGAATATTTTATTAAAAAAAATTATTAAAATCCTTTATAAAAGGTATATAATTTAAAAACCCAGTAGAGCTATATTACAAAACGTTTTTGGAATCCATGTTCCATCATCAGTGTCTAGGTGTACATGTACTGAGCCACTAAATATCTTGGTAAAACCCGTTAAAAGTTATATGTTTAAATTTAGTTTACATTATATGATATTATATATTAAGATGTTAAATTTGCCAGAGGATTTGATAACATGGCAATTTACGACTTCACATGAAGTTGCTGGTCCTGACACAAAAAGTCTCTTTTTGTCTCCGAAAATGTTTTGTGATATAGCCCGATTGGGTTTTTAAATTATATACCTTTTTTAAATGATTTTAATAATGTTGTTTTAATGAAATATTCAATCGTTACCATTGTTCCAGAAACTTGTTGTCTCTATATTTTCGAACTTCTTCCAACTCTATTTGTTTATTGTCTTACTATGAAAAATAGTTCTTTTACTATGATTTTGGTATTCTTTTTTGACGCATTCCTCTCTTTTCTCATTGTTTTTTTTTCATGCCATTTTTTTCTACACTTTTTCATTTCGTTTTATGTTTTGATTTTTGTTTATTAATTTTTCGCGTGTTTCCCTTGCCTTTTTTAATATTACTTCTTTAAATTTTTTTCATTTTTCTTTCTTGATTTCAGTTTTCTTTTTTTTTACCATTTTGAGGTCTTTATCAGTTTCTTCTAGATATCTCCTTCTATTTTATTCATTTACAAAGACCAAATTTTGAAAAATTAAAAATAATGTTTAAATAAAAAGAGTGTGTACTAAAATAGTAAAATTTTCAGTGATAATAAAGCATAATATTTCTATTGTGTAAGGCTATCTTGATTAATTTAACAAAAATAAAAAATAAACTGATATTTTCTTGATACCTTACAAACCCATTTTATTAAAAAAAAATCGGTTAAATAGACGATAGAAGACCACATCCAAAACTATAAAAAAATGTACAATGTGCTATTAAACAATTTAAGTCAGGGGTTGTAACTAAGTGATATATATTTAGGGGATGATTTTTTCTTCGCTATTTTATAGTGTATTACTAGTAGAATAGATCATATTTTGTTCCATCCGAAAATCTCTATTGGTTTAACCCTTTCAGTCACAACTTTTTTTGAGCTATGGGAAAATTCTCATATTTGGTATATAAAATAAACTATTTTTGTTGATAATTTTAACATCATTTTTTTTTATATGTCATATGACACTTGGCATATGACATGTCCATGTTGATGGACATTATGACTTGAAGCAAAATAAAATAAACCTGAAGATTTTAGAAATTTATTTGAATATCATTAGAATGACGAAATAAACAATATTCTTTATAAATAACGAATTAATCATTTTACATGAAATTAAAAAAAAAACAGTTACGACCGCTTACAAAACATAAGTGAACATTACATTTCACGCAAAATGTATGTGATTTTCCCTTACAGTTCTCCATTTTGCAACGTGTACTATCTTTTTTTTCATCTATTTTCGGAAAATGTCCATAGCTGTCAAACCGTAATTCAATATATGGCCTTGCTTCAGTTTTGGTGTTTTTATTATTTGGTGTACCAGTATTTTCTTGATCAGATGGTCTGCCTCTCTTTGGTGGAACCTTATGTAAAATGAGGTGTTGCCCAATACTCATTCTAAAGTCCCACAAATCCAGGATTTTATTGTGTTGTACGCCTAGCAGTTCAGCTTGTTTTCTATATTCCAACCAGGAATTTACTATCGCCATATCTATGCGATATAGCGACCATAGCAGTCCATTTTCTGGATCGTCTGTAGAATCTGTAAACGCTCAATAAAAAATCTAACTTATCAACACCACCCATGTTGGAATTGTAAAGCGATATGGCTTCCGGTCTAGATACATTTATATACTCTTTCGACGTCTTATCCCATCTCTAGCACAAATCCATTTTCCCGCTGCAACAAAATTTGAAGCCACTAAAACTGGTTTATTGTCGAACCATTTTGTAATCACAATTCCATCTTCACTAACCGCTACATCAAATCTACCTCTACCATTTTTTTTAGATCTTTATCAGATGTTAGTTCTGGTCCAAAAAATCGGTTTATTCTAATTGTACTTGTACTTCTTCTGGAACAAACCACTGTACTGGCCTGGTAAGATAGGTAATATTTTTTTCCAACAAACATCTTTCTTATTTGTGAGTTTGAACTCTTTACAAAACTCTAGCAGTCTCTCCTTTGCAGTTGTTTGTTTTTCAGTGGTTTGGTTGGAATTTTCTTTGGTTTTCATGTCCTCAAACATTGGTTGTTCTGTAGTCACTTCATTGGGATATTCTAGATTTTCTAGCTCACCTCTTTCTGTTGACTTCTGTTCTTGGATCAATCCGTCAAAAATGGTTTCCTCAATATCTTGGATATCATCGCCAAATTCTGAGGAAACGTCATTTAGATCCGCAATACTGTTGGCGTTATCAGCATCTGACAAACTGATAAACGTAATATTTCTGAGTCATCGTCTTTCATGAGTAAATCCAATAGTTCATCCTCAGTCAAGGGTCGTGACCATCTCTTTTCTTTACTAGTTGACAGTAAACTTTCCATTTTATGGATATCTAAAACAACACGACCTTGCTAATTTTTATATGCATAAGTATACCTAAGTCATTTTGTCCATCTACATGAACATATAAATATACACCACTTTATAAGATACTTTCAGTCAACAGTTTGATACATAATATAAACACACTATACTAATGCTCTTTACTTACCCAAATCAGCAGGTATTTGTACAAAAAAACAAGTTTATTCAATAGAAATCGTTCCAATAACAAACAGGTGTTTTCACCACCACGACAGCGTGCTAAATGAAACCTGTTTTGCGTTTTATATAGCTTCACAAATCGACTAACAGATGGCTATCAATGTATTCAATGCTTTTCTTATGCATGTACCCACACATAGACAAAATGATTTGGGCGATAATAACCATCAATGTTTTAAGAAAATGCTTTAAAAATCGATGTCCATCGATGTGGACACGATGACCGAAAGGGTTAAAAGATAAAGCGTAGGTAAATTAGTCTGGGACACCCTGTATTTTGAAATAAAAAATGTAACATATATTATGTTATCAATAAAATAACGAAATTTTATTAAAATGTTCATAGTTAGTAACATAACATAATGCAAAAGGAACGACAAATATCGTTTACAGCATTAAGAATTCCACACAATTTTTTTAATTACAAGTTTTAGCTTTTTAATTATATATACAATACAGCCTTAAAGAAAAACTTCCTCTTTCATAGTACTTCTTTCGTCAACATGTCTATGCTACTATTAATTTTTTTAACAATTACTTCAAATATATTTTCTATATCCATAGCATTTATATCTCTTCTTCTGAAATTTGCCAAAGGGCTTGATAAAACATGTATAACTCCATTAGTGCATTCGTAATTAGGTCTTTCAATTTTTATAAATCTATTATGCCATTTTAAATAATATACTCCTTTTATTAAAAGCACCATTATTCTTAAAGTTCCAGATTCACTTTGCAATTCTATGTCTGTGTAATTGTTGGCTTTCGTTAAAGAAAGCAGCAGTTCTATAGAGTACGGAGCATCAGAAATGATAAGATGTTTCCCTAAAAGCATGAAAAAGGAATGAGCTTCTTAAGCATTGGAAAATTGGTTTATTTAACTTTATGATACTGATATGATAAAACTGAAACTTTAACACATAAGTGCTCAGAACTAAAAAAGTATGAAAGTTTAATTTTTTTAACAGATTTTGTTACAGAGTGTTATATATTTACTAAAAAATGTAAAAAAATTCAAAATCTGTCAAAAACTTGTTGAAATGAGTGCCAAATTTAGTTGTCACTGAGCGCTTACGGTTTGGTATTAATAAAAAAATTTCTATGTCAGAAAAATGTATTAAAAACTAATCGTGCTTTAACAAAACTAGAGATATATAGTATGAAAAGTATATATGAAAAGTTTCAAAGTAAGTCACATGTAGGGGCACATTACATTTGTTACACAAGTATGTTGTTCTCCTTTGGCACATTTTGCATCGGCGGTACTTTGACTCTCCTTTCACGATAATGTGCTTTTTTTTGTCCATTCTTAGATCTCCCAAAAACCGTGGATATTGAAAACGATGTATGTGACCCGTGTTCAGTTGGAGAACAACCATATTTTGTAAAAATCTGTAATACTGCTTATCTTCTAAATCGCAACTATGGTAATTCGTGATCTAACAGCCTATATAAAAGCCAACCTTGAACACAACATTAATGCAGAGACCAAGCATAGAGCGGCCACTACCATTTTTTATTGCGAATTTTGCATCTATATTGAGCAGTGAACTGATCATTTAGGTCAACACCTTCCATATAAGAATTATAATGGGAAATGGCATCAGTCATTTTATCACCTTATTTTGTTCACGCTTACTAAACCGCAGAACATTTTTAAACGGCACTTCTATGTGGTAATATGACAATACTGTTAGAACAGCATTGTTATTCCATCTAATAGCTGTTGGCTTTCTGTTAGATATGGAATGTGTCGTCCCTCTTTCACATTTCTTAAAAGATTATTTTGGAGGCAAATTCATCCATTTTGCTATTCTATTTTCTCGCAACGTTCCAGTTCCTCCCAAGTCTCGTTTATACAGTTCTTCAAGTAAGGATACAGAAGTGAATAACATCATTTATGTTTCTTAAATAACGTAACATATAAAATCAGAATTTTGATGTTTGTTGAAGGTAAACTAAATTCACGAACAAATACTTACAATGTCGGGATAGTATTATGAGGTTTTTTCCTGGTTTTTCCTCATAATTTACTATGGAATCACTAACAGGGGAATTTTACTGCCATCATGTCATGTGTTTGTCTTTTTAAAGACGAATTACATGCTATGATTTTTTTCTGACGGATATTCTCAAGTTAAAGTTGATTTCATGTAATCGAATGAACTATCTTATAAGTAAAGTCGTCCCAGGAGCGCAACTCAACAATATTGGCAATATCATTTTAAGGTCATCTACTTTAAAATGCATAATATATGTCTGAATTGTCAATATAAATGAGTCAGATAAAATTAAATTATTAGAAGAATTTTTTCACTATGTAACAAAAAACAAAATTTGTTTAATTTACTGTTTGTATTTTGAGAACGATTTCCGAAGTGGAAATTGAAACGTCATTAAACGTATTTTTATCTTTAATTGTGGCTTATTCCCAGTTTAATAGTAATTAATTTACAATGCCACAAGAAAATAGCTTCAGAACAATATTAGGCTTAATCTAGTTGTAATTTAACTTTTACTTCATAATTAATTACGCTTATCTCTTCAGGAATTCAAAAATGCATAAAGACGAGTTTACATATTTAAATTAAACCCTATGCGTGTACTATTTACCCAAAATATCTGTTTCGTTTTCTATTGCCTCTAAATAGTCTGACTCAGCCTTTTTCCATGCAGTATCCAGTGGGACGAAAAAAGTAAAGCTAACATTTTTCTTGGAAAATTTTTTATTAAAGCCAGTTCTTTCTCCCATTGAAAAGAAAACATCCAAATTTGGATCTAAGCTAATTTTTTCCAATACCGGCAGAAATGGAAATGGTTTTAGATCTTTGGTATCGATTCCCAATGGTTGTGATATAAGGTGAATAACTCCATTATTGACAGGAATATTTGCTTTGATAACCTAAAAACATAAATATAACTTAATAGTATGTCGTAATTAATTCAGTACCATATTGGAATTTTTCTATCTGTTATATAAAGCAAACGAAATTGTTTATATTAACGCTGAATGTTAAAAATATTCTTTTCTTTTTCCTTTATAAAAGGAATATAAATATAAGAAAACCTCTTACAGAAGTACATCGCAGAACGTTTTCGGAGTACCTATTCCATCATCTGGATTTACATTTACATTTTTGAAGCCGCTAAATACATGGGTAAAAATCCTTTAAATATATGTAAAAATTCATTTTACATTACAATTTTGATGTTAAAAACTAGAATGTTTAAATAATAAATGGAATTAGATTCATGGTAAGGTAAATTAACCATTTTTATAAAATCATTTGGAAATTGGTTGGAAAGTAAAAGTTAAATATTAAATTAAATTAAATAAATAATTTTTACTACGCAGCTACGTTACGTTGTTGTTTTTTTTTAAATTACCTTGTCACTGTTCACTTCACTATCCCTACTACGGCTGGGAACAGGGGAGGGTTCATTTATACCGTCGATGGTGACGTAGCCTAGGTGGGTGTTGGAGTGGGGTTTGTTGCGAATATTTCCGACAGTGAAATTTTGATTCGAGGATGGAGGGAGCGATATTTTCGTTATGAGAGGTCTCCATGTAGAAGGTAACCGTATGGCGTCATCTGTTTTATTAAGACAATTTGGCCTTTTTTTTATTTCTATGGCTTCTCGGATAATTCTTGGTTTATAGAAGCGGATGGGGCTATGGTTCTGGAGTTTTTAAAATCAATTTTGTGACATGTATGAAGATGGTGTTGACGGAGAGCTGAAATTGAATCAGAATTGCGAATAGAAATGGAATGTTCATAAATCCTATTTTGGATTCTACGATTTGTTTGGCCTATATAGGATCGGGGACAGTCTGTATAAGGAATTTCATAAACTCCGTGCTGTTCATTTGGAATATTGTCTTTGATTGATCGGACAAGAGATGAAAGTTTTTGTTGGGGGTAAATATTGTTTTTATTCCTCTTGGTTTAAGAATTTTGTCGATTTTGTCAGTGACACCTTTGATATAAGGAAGAAAAGCTTTCGCATGTTAGGGGTCTGAGTCTTTGGATTGAGATTGAGTGGGATATTGATGTCTGTGGATGCTCCTATTGATGTGATTTTCGCGGTAACCGTTTTGAATTACGGCTTGTTTTAAACAAGAGAGCTCAGCGGCTCAATTTCGCTTTGAACAGCAGATACAGCTTACAGATAATACATGGATATGCACCGAAGGAAACTCAACAGACGAGAAAGCTAAATCATTTTACAAGGATCTGACAACAGCAAGGAACCAAGAAAAATCACACTTCGTAATAATTACAGGAGATTTTAATGCAAAAATTGGAACAAAAGAAGACGGCGACTCACAATATATCGGTCGCGTTGGACTGGATAGCAGGAATGAAAGGGATGAGATGTTGTACAACTACTTAAACAACGAAAATTTATTTTGTCTCAATACTTTCTTTAAAAAATCTTAACACCGTAAATGGACATGGATCAGTTCAGACAAGAAAACTAAGAACGAAATAGACTACCTACTCTCCAATAACAAAAACATATGCACCGACGTGACAGTACAAAACAAATTCTATATCGGGAGTGACCATAGATTGGTTAGAGCCAACATTAAAATACAGACGAGAGTAGAACGAAACAAACTTAATAAAATAGAATAATACCCAACCACCGATGACCTGTTTCAAAAACAAACCGAATACCAAAAAGAGCTAAGCACAAGACTAAAATCAATATAGACACTGAAACAAATGGATATAAACGGACTAGCCAATAAAATAAAAGTAACTGTAACAACATCGGTTAAGAAAATATGGTCAAACACGAAAGCTGCCAAAACATCTAAACTCTAACCTAATACAATTAAACTTCTCCAAGAAAGACGAAACAGAACAGATCGAACTTCTGACAGCTTCAAAAGTTTAAACAAAGACGTGAAGAAAGAAATCAGGAATGATCATAGAAACTATAATAACAATCTAATAAAAAACATAATACAAGATAACTGCAACTTGAAAGTATTCAAAGCAAAAAACTCAAGCAGCACAACAAAAATCATAGAAATAGAAAAACGTCACCGTCAGAGACAGAAAGGAAATAAGCGAGGCCATTGATTCTACACTAAATTATACTCGGTAAATACACAACCACAACAATGGCGTACTGAACGAACAACAATTAACACTGGCTCAGAAGAAATACCTGAAATAACCCACTATGAAATAAGAATGACCTTAAATCAACTAAAAATGAATAAATGTATGGGAAAGGATAAAATTACAGTTGAAATATTGAAAATTGGTGGCAGAAAAATGGAACAGATATTAAATATTTTATTTAATAAAGTAATTGATGAAGGAAAGATTCCTCAAGAATGGTACAACTACGAAGTCATTTTACTATTCAAGAAAGGAGACAAAGCAAACATCGAGAATTTCCGACCAATATCCTTGTTATCATATCTGTATAAATTACTAACTAAAATCCTAACCAACCGCCTAACACATAAGCTCGATTTAAAGGAAACTTAAAGAAAGCTCGAACTTAAAGAAAAAGGTGTATAACACATGCATACTACCAGTTTGTACCTACGGCTTGGAGACAGTAGCCTTACCAAAAAATTTGCTAAAAAATTAGGAACAACGCAAATAGCAATTGAACGAATCATGCTTGGAATATCACCAAGAGACAAGATTAGAAACACCGATGTAAGACGTAGAATGAAGATTAGGGATATTGTGGAAGAAATTACAAAAATGAAATAGCGCTGGGCAGGTCATGTATCCCTATATAATGACAACAGGTGGACACGGAGAATTCTAGAATGGAGACCAAGGACGACAACAAGAAGCATGGAAAGACCTCAAAAAAGATGGGTAGATGACATAAGAGCAGCGGCACGCAAACAGTGGATTAGATTGGCGCAAGATAGAGAAAAATGGAAGCAATTTAGAGAGACCTACATTCAGGAGTGGATGGAAAATGGTTGACAAAGAAGTGAAAGAGAATATTATTCAACATTATTTATGCCCCTTCCCCGAGAGGGTGTATATTTCTTACCTACCTGTCGGTGAGAATCCAGAAGCTATCGACAAGGACAGCCTGTTCTGACCGAGAGAGTGTTACATTTAGCAGAACTTTGAGATTTTTAAAAAAGTTTATACCAAATAGGTGCTTTGTGTTACACTTTATGTTAAAAATAAAAACAGATTTGGAAAGTTTGTCAAATTCTGTAATGCTCTATTTAGAAAAAAAAATACGTTTATTTTAACCAAAAATATTTGAAAAAAAGAATTGTTTAAACATTTTATTAATTTACAACCAAATAGTGCACTAGAACTTTTTAAGACCTTTTATATAAAAAAAAAGAATCATCTCAATATCTGCCATAGCTTTTGGATATTTGATTAAACTTTTACATTGGAAGTTAGCTATGCCCAGAATCGCGAGGAACGGCCTTAAGGTTATTTTATGTCTTTTTTTCCTAAACAACTCTTCCCTTTTATTTTGTTATATATTATTTCTTAATTTTAATTACCTCTGAATAAAATTCTCCCTGTCCTGAAACACCTCGTTTTAATCCTTTTACAAATAATCCTTTATTAATTTACAACCAAATAGTGCACTAGAACTTTTTAAGACCTTTTATATAAAAAAAGAATCATCTCAATATCTGCCATAGCTTTTGGATATTTGATTAAACTTTTACATTGGAATTTAGCTATGCCCAGAATCGCGAGGAACGGCCTTAAGGTTATTTTATGTCTTTTTTTCCTAAACAACTCTTCCCTTTTATTTTGTTATATATTATTTCTTAATTTTAATTACCTCTGAATAAAATTCTCCCTGTCCTGAAACACCTCGTATTAATCCTTTTACAAATAGGCGTTTATCTTTTTCTTCAAAAGAAATAGCGATGTACAGCATCTCGTCATTAGCCAATGATTCAAATAAGAAATTTTTTGTAGTAGGTCTTGTAAATAATACATTAAACGGTACGACGTGTCCTAAAATAATATTTTTATTCATCATTTTAAACTTCGCAGGTCCGATTCCAGAATCAACAGGTATAAAATAGGTATGCCCAGCATTTTGTTTAAAAACATACTGAAGTTTAGTTTCCTGGATCTTCGTAAGGAATTGGGATACAGAATTAGCAGATCCCAAGTTCCATTTAAATAACGTAGTTAAGAATTCGAAAGCACTAGGAGATGCTGTAGAAGATTTAATTACAGGATCGAGGACTTCGTCTATCATATGAAGAATCTAAAAAATGTAATGCGATTTAGAGTTACGTAGGTTAGATAATCTACAATAAATTTGTTATTTATTGCTACTTGTTAATTACTTTCACTTGTATTTGTAAAAGAGGTTGACTATGAATTAATGCGAACAAGAAAATAATATTCGCAAGTCATAAAAGTATAGCTAGTGAGATAAAACGCGACATAACAATCATAAACGCAAATGTCAATTGAAGGGTTCGGTGCAAAAACTAGTCAACTCCATTTTTTTATAATTTGTGGAAAATCAATAAAAACTTTCTAGTATTGTTATTTGTAGAAATATTTTAATTACTATTTATAACTGGGAATAAGCCACAATTAAAGATAAAAATACGTTTATTGACGTTTCAATTTCCAATTCGGAAATCGTTCTCAAAATACAAATAGTAAATTAAACAAATTTTGTTTTTTTGTTACATAGTGAAAAAATTCTTCTAATAATTTAATTTTATCTGACTCATTTATATTGACAATTCAGACATACATTATGCATTTTAAAGTAGACGACTTTAAAATGATATTGCCAATATTGTTGAGTTGCGCTCCTGGGACGACTTTACTTATAAGATAGTTCATTCGATTACATGAAATCAACTTTAACTTGAGAATATCGGTCAGAAAAAATCATAGCATGTAATTCGTCTTTAAAAAGACAAACACATGACATGATGACAGTAAAATTCTCCTGTTAGTGATTCCATAGTAAATTATGAGGGAAAAACCAGGAAAAAACCTCATAATACTATCCCGACATTGTAAGTATTTGTTCGTGAATTTAGTTTACCTTCAACAAACATCAAAATTCTGATTTTATATGTTACGTTATTTTTTCTGACGGATATTCTCAAGTTAAAGTTGATTTCATGTAATCGAATGAACTATCTTATAAGTAAAGTCGTCCCAGGAGCGCAACTCAACAATATTGGCAATATCATTTTAAAGTCGTCTACTTTAAAATGCATAATATATGTCTGAATTGTCAATATAAATGAGTCAGATAAAATTAAATTATTAGAAGAATTTTTTCACTATGTAACAAAAAAACAAAATTTGTTTAATTTACTATTTGTATTTTGAGAACGATTTCCGAATTGGAAATTGAAAAGTCAATAAACGTATTTTTATCTTTAATTGTGGCTTATTCCCAGTTATAAATAGTAATTAATTTACAATGCCACAAGAAAATAGCTTCAGAACAATATTTAGAAATATTTTGTCAAAAAAACCCAATTGTGTATTGGTATTGAAAAATAATTTAATACCAAACTGATAAAATATTGTTTGAGACTTCGTAAAAAAAATTAGTCTTGGAGTTTACTGTTTTTTGCACCGAACCTCAAAAAAAATACACAAATAAAGCAACATTATTGCGTTCAGCATTTATTTATCATAAAATAAAAACATAACTTTATTTTTTAACTCAAAGCAAGTCTAAAAAACAAGAAAAATAAAAGAGACCACAGGAAAAATCGACTCCTGCATAGAATAACGTTGTAACTAACATTTTTGGCGATTTTGAGTTACAGTGTTCTTTTTGGATAACTTTTTACGCTCTATCTGCCAACATGGTTGGTGTGGCTGTAACTGCATAAATAAGAAAGATTCCTAATGGAATAATACCGTAAATATAAAAAATTGAAATGTTTGTAGAATAACAGAGTAACTGCAGATACGACGTTGAACCAAATCAAATTTTCATCGAAAAATACTGTATCGTACCATAGTGTATCAAAATAATTCTCATATTTCAAAAACTACACCGTAACTGTTGTTACAATTTTATTCGCCCAATATGCAGGTAGATGCGCGTCGTGTATAAATATTTCGCGGCATTATTGTGAGAATAGTAGGGGGAAATAGACAAGACATATCTTGATTGTTTCCCGGTCACGGTGTTTAGTTTGCATTTGAATGGTATACAGTGCAGGTGTTATTTTTTTAAAATCATGAGCAGACATCAACGTAGTTCTCGACTGATGGAGTTGACGTTACAACAAACAAGTTCGTATTTTATAATTTTCTAAAAATAAATAACGATAACAAGTTTAATTTTTAGAAGGTCCCGTAGAAAAACATAATGGTACTAAAGACGTGGAACTTGACAAGCAAGTTGTTCTTCATTTTTAAATACAGGTAAAGAATTTGTTCTTATATAAAGTGGTTTAAGTTAGGTCTGCATTAAATATTCTTTTTATTGTTCTTATGAATTAATAACTTAAAAAAAACATTAAAGAAACAAAATGAAATATTTGATGATTTTGAGCAAAGTGCAATTGAAGAAGCTTTTTCTCCCGACGTTTCGGAGTATATTCCTTTATCATCTGGTAAATTTATTGTTTTATTCGTATTAAGTTTTTTAATTATTTACAGAATCATCAGAAAGTTCTACTCTACATCAGAATCATTCCGGTTTGGGTGATTACCTCCGGCGAAACAATAATAAATCGACATCGCTATTTATAGTCAGTTCAATTTTAAACGACATATTAGGGCAAGTCAGCTTAAAAAGTATAAGATGGGGACGAAAACGTCCCCGTCGTTTTAAGAGAATAGAAAGATAATGGAAAGATAATAGAAAGGAATGGAAAGATGTAATTCGTAAACAAAAAAAAACAAAGGAGAACAATTTATAAATAAAAAAGGTAAAGTTGTAAAATAACGACAACTTAAAGGTGGTTGTATGGACAAATGTATCCGAAAGTGCCGAGAAAAACTGAATATTGCAACAAGACAGCAACTTTTTAAAGAGTTTTGGAAAATGGGAGATCACAACCTTCAGACCCAATATAGTAGTCGTTTGGTTACTAGACACACAAGATCTCGTATTTTAAATACTACCATTGAATCTCGAAGGAAGAGGACATTTCAGTATAAATTGCCTATAAATGATAGCCACATTGTGGTATGTAAGAAAATGTTTCTTGATAGGTTGGATATAACTGATAGTTGGTTGATGACAATATCTAAAAAGATGTCAGAGAGTGAAGTTGGTATAATTGTTGAAGATATGCGTGGAAAACACACCACTCGGCCACAACGAGTAGCAGAAGAAATAAAAAAGACTGTTCGAAAACACATATCGTCTATTCCAGCAGTAGAGTCGCATTACCTTAGAAAAAAAAACAACAAAATTATATTTTGAATAGAAACTAAATATTTCTAAACTTTTTGATTTGTATACGGAGTGGATGCAGAAAAAACATCCTATCTCGTTTACTGCAACATTAAGACAGTACCGTAAGATATTCAACAGTGAATTTAACATCGAATTTTTTAAACCAAAAAAAGACCAGTGTGTCTTCTGTCATGTTTACCGAAATGCGCGTGAAGACGAAAAAGCAGAGATGGATCTGAAGTACACTAACCATTGTAGCGTTTTATATTTAACGTCTATATAATAATATAAATTCGGTTTTAAATTGTCATAGTACACCCCTAGTATACCAAGAAATGTGTTTGTTTGTTATGGAAGTCGAGATTTTTAAATACGTAATAAAGCTTCAGATTGTCGGTTTGTCGATTGTCAGCTTGTCGGTCAGATAGCTCAGCGGGCTGTGCGGCTGCCTCTCATTCGCTTCACTGTCGAATGGTTTAGTGGATGTGGGATCGAGCCCAAGCTCGGTGTACAGAAAACAAAAAGTCTAACGCAGCAGTTTAAAATTCTAGATGAATCTGCGGCTTAGACTAAGATATGCTGGGATCTGATCGGCCTATGGTGGAGCAGTACGGCAAGAGATAAGGGCTTGCGGCTCGGTGATACTCCTCCATAGATCCCTACCGGACAGGCGTAACGCCTAAAAAAACCGGATATATATAATAAAGCTTCAAAAATAAAGACGTATTTGGTAGTTGAGAACGGTTTTGTTTACACTAGCCATTCCGGTTGAAAAGAGTTTCTTAGAAAAAATTATCGCAAGTCAGGTATTTATTTCTTACCACGCAATAAGAATAAGGAATTTCAAGGTTGTGTGAAGTCGGAGTCTTGTTTAAGTTTGTGGATGACAGACTAACTGCGTTGGTCATTCGGCGTTCGAATTGAGAGAATGAAGGAGTGGTCGGTCAAACTAGACGAGTCAAATTGAGAAGACGTGTGATAATGTAAGTGGAACAAAAGATTTTTAATTTTAAATTGTGGGGCAATTTTTGAATCTAAGAAGTCGATTCACCTTTTTTTGAAATGTTTTAATACCAGTAGACGTGATGATACTCTGGCATTGAGTGCCGTTTTGGTCGAGTAGTTGGTCACTAGAAGATTTGTACAGAAGCTGAAAACTTTTGAAAAGTATTATATAGGATATCCTCGTTGTTAGTTTAATTCCTCAACTTGAGCTGTTCGATCGTTTTGTCCCGGAGAATGGAAATGGTTATGATGTTTTCATATTTTCCAGTTTGAGAGTTTTGTTCGAGTAAGCTTTCTCAGAGATGTAACGAGTTTCAAACTTAAGTGATTATAAAAGAAATTAAGATTTTAGGGAAGAAGAATTTTTTTTCTTTCTCCCAGCAGGAAGTTTTCTTCGAAGCGGCGTCCAAGAAAAGAAAAATAGCTAGAGGTAAATTTATCTGCCATATCTTATTCGTTTTTTTTTGACCCAGGAGATTTATGTGAGTATCCTTTTGTTTTCATTTTGTAGATACCCCTATCCAACCCCCATATTTTCAACTTATCCACGACCCAGCTCTCCAACAACCAACTGAGTGCCGTACGCACTAGTTCCGGCTATTTTGTTTGCCCAATCTTCTCCCCCATGTTCTTACACTGAGGTAAGCAAAATAGTCGTTACAACATATTGCTAATAAGACTGTTGTAAGACAACTTAATGAAAGGGATAAAGAGGTCGCTAAAAATTCAATGGAAACTATAGTTGCTTGTTACGACTTTCATAACGTTCTCACCACACCTCAGTCTGAACTGTCAATGTTTTACAATAAACGAAAATTATGCGTTTTTAATTTCACAATATTTGACATAGGACGCAATGA